CCAAACTTTCTCATTCTGGATTTTCACCTCTTTGTTCCACTAGTTCTTCTTACAGTGCTAAGCCAAAATGAATGGTACTACCACCATGCTTCAACTTCATGAACTCAGATTTTCTTTATGCCTAGGCTTTGGTCTCAGAAGACATTTTGCCCCCTAAACTAAGGAAAAATTGGAATTTTTCTAATAGAACTTGTAGGAAACTTAAGAAAAGAAAAAACAGAAAGCATAGAAAAATAAAAGTTTGAAGTGTTCCCTGTATCATGACAACTGAATTTTATCCATAAAATGGCTTAGTTAGTGTATGTTTATGAAACACCAGGGCTTGCTCCCCTTTTTCTTACTTCAAATATGCCATGGTGGCATGTTTATCCAGGTGTTGTTAGCTGAAGATAGATCTGAGATATCCCCACAGCTAGGTAATAAATTTCTCAGTTTAATATTCAGGTTTACTTCTTGCTCTCTGCCCCACCCCACACACAGTCCCAAGCTATAATTTTTATGTTTCAACCAAATCTTTGGGCCAGGACATGGCCCCATATTTCCCTAACTAATTTCAAAGATTGTAATTGCTTATTTTATTAACACAACCTTACACCTCACCCCTGACCCAAACATCATGCGTTTGTCTGAAGCATTTTTACTGACCAGCTATAAAGTTTGTTCTATCTTAAATGAAACTGAATTCCTTTACCTGAATTTGTGTGTTAGGAATTTATTGGGCTATTATCTGCTTTGTATCACCTTGGAATATAGGATACTCTAAAGATGAGAGAGATTTTTTTCCTATCAGAAGATAGCCAAGACTTAGTATTTTGAATCTGAAGTTTCTGCTAAGTGGGACGATGTAAAGGTTTCTGTTTCAGGTCCCTAATACAACAATTGTTTTGTTAGGTAACTGGAGAAGAAACACCCAGGAGGTTTTGTGTTTTCTTGGGTTTTTTTTTTTAATATATTTTTATTTTCGAGAGAGAGAACACAAGTTGGGGAGGGGCAGAGAGAGAGGGGGACAGAGGATCTGAAGCAGGCTCCATGCTGACAGGGAGCCCGACGTGGGGCCCAAACTCACGAATTGCAGGATCATGACCTGAATGAAGCCTGATCTCAACTGACTTGACCACCCATGCACCCCGGAACACCCAAGAATTTTTAAGGCAAGAGAGACTCGTTCAAAAGGAGAGAAATGTTGGTATTGAGAGTTGAGAAGGGGAAGTGACTGTATCCGAGATACAGAGAGAGTTGTAAAATGTCAGAATCCTCTTGCATGCAGCTCTCTTAATGGAGAATGACTAAGTGATGCTGTGAAAGACTAACCACTCAGCATTGCAGCCTACAGGGCAGTCCTATAGGTCTCGACAGCTGAGCCTGCGCTCAATGAGTGGTGTAACCATGCAAGCTTATTGAGAGTGTCACTGGATCAGTGTCCAGCATACAGCAGAAGATGAAATGCAATAACATTATCATGGAACATAAGAAGATAATGACTGCCGTAACATAAAGACCAACCCACATCCCATGCCCCCAACTTCTGGACAGATAGCAACTATATGCCCACCAGATCCTTAGATATTCCTAGGAAGGAAGATAGCTCTTTCCATTAAATACAACAAATATAATTCTGTACAACTCCATATGGTGAGTATTTGGTTTGTTTTAGGACAAAAGAAGCATGCTACTTAGTATGTGGAGCAAATTCATACTGGCTACATTAATATCCAGTCCTGGTCTCTGCAGCAGCTCTGTGGTTCTGATAGAAAATGCCATCATTCCCTGCTGGAATCTGTCTGAATCCTGTCAGCTCTTCTGACAGTTAGAAGCAGAGTTCTCATCTTTCACAGTTTCTAAAACCTTTTATATATTGAACTGCCCACTAAGTTCCTATTTTTCTGTCGATGAGAAATCTCTGAGTTCCCAGCTTATTTGCAAAACAGAGATAAATGACAGATACTAAGTTTAATTACTACTGAAGGTTTGGACACCAGCTCTGTCCATTGCCACAAGTCTTTTTGAAATTCCCCCAGATGCTCACAAATGGCACCCATCCAGAATTCTTTCCTAAGTTAACAACTTGGAAACTCTTTTACCAACCGTAAAGATACTAGTGAATGTCCACTAAAAATAAGACTAAGCTTATTTAGTTAGACCTAGTAAATTTCACTCAGGTATGTGTGCATGTACACCAGTATTATATTTTAATTTACTACATGTGCTGTGTTTCTTCACATGCTTTCTGTACTTCTGTCTGCTCACATTCTCAATTTGGAGTATTAAATGTTACCTCCTAACTTTATGCTCTTTGAAAGGATTTTTAGTTCTGCTGTTAACGATCTATAATACTGGACAAGCACTTGCCCTTTCTGGACATTATTCATCCAAAACATAAAGGATTTTATTAAATTGTTTTTAAGAATCCTTATGTTTCTGACTTTCTGTAAGAGTAATTTGAAAACACTATGAAATATGATTAAGAAGTCAAGGAAATGTCTATTTTCTAAGGAGTTAAATAGTTAAATTAAGTTTAAATCTATTACTTTTGGAGAGAATATTCCCTTATAGACTTTTAATGTATTACTGGTAGCCAAAGGTAGAAGAATAAAATGTACTGAAATACATATTTTTAAAGAATACATAAAGTTTCAAGTGGCTTTACATTTTATTTGTGAGCCTAAATTATTTACATGGTTTTAAATAGTGAATGTATTCTTTTGTAATAGAGACTTACACGAATCCCTGTGATTCATGCAAAATAAATTTTGAAATTTGAAAGAATTGAGCTTGATTTATATAGTTGAGAGGTTACAGACTGACTGCTTTGTTTATTTTGCCAGAACTGTATTTCCATTTGGGAGCCAACATTTAAAAGTAAATAGACTTGGGGGTGCCTGAGTGGCTCAGTTGGTAAACTTCTGACTTTGGCTCAGATCATGATCTCACAGTTCTCATAGGTTCAAGCCCCGCGTCGGGCTCTGTGCTGACAGCTCAGAGCCTGGAGCCTGCTTCAAGTTCTGTCTCCCTCTTTCTTTGCCCCTCCCCTGCTCACATGCTCTCTCTTTCAAAAATGAGCAAACTTCAAAAAAAATTAAAAGTAAATAGGTTTCATGTTGTAAAAAAATAGGTTTTTCAGTGTCATTTTGAAAAATCACATTCTGGTAACTTTGGTCCCACATTTCCATGTAGCAATGATTGGCCAAAGCTAAATAGCAATTGTCCCTTTAGATAGGACATAGGCATGGGGCCCTCCTCTGGTTCCCATCACTTACACTTATACTGGACCACTGTACTCATTATGTTACCTGCCTGGGATTTCAGCCAATATGTTTACCCCCATTTGGTAAGACTCTTAATAATGAATTAAAATAAACTTTTCAGGGGCTCCTGGGAGGCTCAGTTGGTTGAATGTCTGACTCTTGATTTTGGCCCAGGTCATGATCTCACAGGTTTGTGAAATCAAGCCCTGTGTCAGGCTGTGCTCACAGTGCAATGTCTGCCTGGGATCCTCTCTCTCTCTCCTCTGTCTCTCTGCCCACCCCCATCCCTCCCACTCCCCAGGCTTGCTATCCCTCGAAATAAATAAACCTTTAACAAATAAAGAAAAAAACCCTTTTATCTGGATTTATTATAAAGAATTTGGATTTCTTGTCACCCAAATTTAGCATAATTTCTTCAATTTTTTTTAAAGTTTTTTTTAATGTTTTTATTTTATTTTGAGAGAGAGAAAGACAGACAGAGTGCAAGTGGGAGAGGGGCAGAGAGAGGGATACACAGAATCTGAACTAGGTTCCAGGCTCTGAGCTGTCAGCACAGAGCCCAACATGGAACTTGAAGTCACAAACCATGAGATTGTGACCTGAGCTGAAGGCAGACGCTTAACCAACTGAGCCACCCGGGCACCCCTTTTCAAGCCTTCTAAAGTGAATGAATATCAACCTTTGATTGGTATAATTTCCAAATAGACAAGAATTGCATTGTGTGTACTTTATAGATATAATACAGAAAAATATTATTATAGTTTTTCAATTTGATTTTGTATGCCAATTAAAAAGACATGATATCTTCATTGTAACTTCATAAGCAACATTAAATAGTAATTATAGTTCCTCAAATATTCCACCCTGACAGAAAGCTGTTCAGGCATCCAACCACTGAAAATAAAAGCTAAGCTAGATACACTATATAATATAGGTTGTGGTTTTAAGTAGAATCCTTTCCCAATAAATATATAATCCTTTTATAAAATGGAAGGAAAGAGCCTTTTATTAATATGAATTTACTATATGAATTAAATTTACCACGCTTATTTTAAAATTATGGAGAAAAATTAAACTATTGGTTGATATAAAGATTTGAAATTAGAGGTTTTTAATAACAGGTTTAGCATCTGATTTATTTCTTTATTTGGTGGCAGAGTAGCAAGAAAATCCTGATTCACAAAGACAAGTTGAAACTTGTAATAATAGATTTTTTAAAATATATCTTTTCTGCTAATTTTATAATTATTTTTATAATAGGAACTTTATTTTATAAACTTACAGCTTTACACATGTATAATTTTATTAATTTATAGCTTTATAAATTTAAAATTGAGAAATCCCCCCAAAATTTTTTACTCAAGCAAAGTCCAAAAAAAATTAATATGACAACACAAAGGCAAGTATTGCTGGCCACCGATGTATTAAAATTTAGTGAGTGACACATTTAATTAACATAACCTTGAAATGATAAAAATATACAGGCTCAAATATTCAAATCAAGTGTATGCAGAATCTCAGCTCTTATGGAAGATAATAGGACTCATATGGTTTGCAAAATATTGTTCAATAACCAATTAGCACAAGATAAAAATACTTAGAGGATTAGCGAACATTTTACTTAAAACTAGGATCATTTTTCTTTTCCTTTTTCTTCCTCCTTTCTTACAATATGTTTAATTCTGAAAGAGAAATCTACAACAAGCTAAAGCAGGAAATTATCTTGATGCCTTAGCCATATTTGTGCTCTTTCAGCTAAGAAATCTCAGATGAATGGAGGAATAGGAAATAATGCATTGTGTCCATGGAAGTTTATATAGAAGAAAATGAAGATAGAGACCTTAAGGTAGATATTCCAAGCTTTTTGGAATTGCATTGTCCAGAAATTGTAAAAATACCTTTTGTTTGGTATTATAACAAATATTTCCCAGCCTCCTGAATAGGTCACTTGGCATAGATAATTAGTTTTTGGGGGGTTTCATTGTTTGTTTAATTGTTCTGTTTTATTTTGCTTTGAGATTTGGTGGTGATGCTGGAGATAACAAGACATCTTGAGATGTTCCTAACCAGATGTACAAATATGAAAATCACTTCACTGTGGTGTCTTATAAGGCTGCTTCCTTTTCCTAGTTCTGATTCAAAAACCATCAAAAAGTTACATTGGCCTGGCCAGTAGATGCAGTACGGGTTGTTTCAGAAGGCTTCACAGAATATGTGGTAGACATTTTAATTAATTTGCACTGTGAGGTTATGAAATCCAAGGCTTATGTCTAACTAGGTCATGTTGCATTTTCATTTCTTAGCACACTACATGGCCAGAATATGTGTTTGGTAAATATTTTTTAAATGAGCCACTGCTACTATTTAATTACCTATCGATTTCATCTGTACTATGTGAGAACTCAAGAGGTTTGGGGTATACACTAACCATAAGGAAGACAAATGCAAGCTACTCAGGAGGAGGAGGAGTCAAATTTGCAAGGTTTATGCTATACTTAAGCCAGCTACATTATGATGGGTAGCCCTTATTTTACCATTTTTAGATCAGTGCTTGTCATCATCTTAGAACTAAATCTACACAAGCCTCCACATTTGGTAAATGGATAGATTTATTACTATTCACTACATCGTTCCATAATCCATATAGTATGAGAAACTATATTCACACAGATGCTTGCAATTTTATAGTTAAAAGGATAAAAGGTGAAGTTTTAAACAAATTTTAGGTAGCGTACTTAGTATACAATTCAAATTTCAAAAATAGCAGGCTGTTGTTGAAACAAATTTCTAGGCCCAAGATGGTCCCTCTTCTGCTTCTGTCTAGAGTGCCATGTGAGCAAACTGAAACTGAACTTCTGTACCCCTATAAATGCTCTGCTTGACCAGGAATGCAGTACATCCAGCCCACCAATCCCTAAATGCCAAGCCAACTCTACATCTTCTCACCCTAAACAAGGTTGAATATATGGCCCCAGCCAATCAAATATTTTCTATTTTTCTCTTCCTTGTTGGTCATTCTTCTTTTGTAAAAGTTTTCTGCCTTCCATCCCTTTTTGCAGTTCTCTGAAATTAGTCTGCCTTACCAAGTGTTCAATACTTTGTATCACCTAAATTGTCTTTATTCATTTTTAACACTGTCAAAATAGTAAGAAGCACTAAATTATCATATGTATGTGAGATCTCAAAATCAAGAGATTATTATGTAAACTAATCACTAATATATGCTTTATGAATTTTCTAAATAGTAACCATGTATTAGTATGTATATATTGTTATTAGTTAATATATAGGCAATAAAACGACTGCAAGGCTCTATCCACCAGTATTCCCCAAATAATAAATATCCTAAACACAGGAACACAACTTTCAGGACTTTAGAGTCAAGCTTTGTCTCCAATAATATCCCCAAACTACCACTTCCTCTGTGAGGGAAAGGTGAACTGATTCCTTCTTTTGGCATATTGAAGGAGTCAACAAAATGTCCATTGCATTCTTCTTTGTGCTGTTTGGGCCCTTCTTATCATTATTTATTATACTTACCTCATTGTCCCATTTTACTTCCTTCCTCTACATTCTCTAGCCTGACCTTGACCCTTTTTGACCCCATTTTTCTACACATCCACAAAGGCACAAGTAAAATCCTCCCCCACTACTTCCTTTATGTTAGTTACAACTATAGGTGAACTAAGTATTAACTAGAATGGAAGGAAATTATTACTAATTATTTGCTAATACTATATTAAGGATATTTGTGTTTATATTCATAAGTTATATTGGCCTTTAATTTTCAGTTTTTATAATATCTTTGTCTGGTTTCAGTATCAGAGTAATACCAGCCTCATAAAATGTGTTGGAAAGTATTACGTACTTTTCTGTGTTCTGAACGATTTTGTGTATGGTTGGTGTTCTTTCATCCCTAAGTGTTTGACAGAATTCATCTCTAAAGCTCTCTAAGCCTGGAGTTTCTTTGTAAAAGGTTGTTAATTAACTTTTGGGGAGATCTAAAGCTATTCAGACTCTTGAAATTTATTGTTATATCAAGGAGTTTGGAATTTCAAGGAGTTTGCCCATTCTGTTTGTTATTGAATTTACTGACATGAAATTGTTCATAATATTTTTTTACTGTCCTATTAATATCTTTAGGGTCTATGATGGTGTTCACTCTCTCATTGTTTATGTTAATAATTTGTGGCTTCTTTATTTTTTCTTTTGTATCTATGGATTTATCAATTTTATTGATCTTTCCAAACTATAGCTTTTCACTTGATATATTTTTTATATTGTTTGGCTAATTTCTGTTTCACTGAGTTTCATTCTTATCTTTATTATCTTCTTTTTTATCTTCTTTTTTAGCTTGGGTTTAATTTGCCCTATTTTGTAGCTCCTTAGACTGAAACTTAGAGCACTGATTTGGTCCAAAAAAATTTTGAGAGGAAGAGCTGTGTGACTCCTCTGGCAGAACCACTGCATATATGTTATGACTGCATTCCCTTTTCCCCTCTGCTAATGAGATTGGCAGTGATCCATGGTGGAGAATAGAACAGTAGCCAGTCCTCAACTGACATGAATGGGAGGGAGAAGTAACCTTTATTGTCAAAAGATTTGGTTGTTGTTGGTAACCACTGGGATAATCTAATCCAGAGTTTCTCAATGTCAATAATGGGATATTGATATGATATGATATTAATAATTCTCCATGTTAATAATGGGATAGTATAATTCTTTGATGTTGGGGGCTGTCCAGTGAATTGAAGGATTTTTTTTTTTATTAGCGTCCCTGATCTCTACCCACTTCATGCCAAAAGTACCCTCTTTCCCATTGTGACAAACATAATGGTCTCCAGACATTGCAAACGTCTTCTAGAAGACAAAACTCCCTCCCTGCCCCAGCTGAGAGCCACTTGGCTGATTCATGTACGACTACACATATAGAAGTAACAAAGTAAAAATGGAGCTCTATGTCACATTATACACTAAAATCAGTTCTAGTGGATTGAAGGCATACAGATGAGAGACAAAGCTATTAAACAGGAGATAATATGTAAAATATCTTTATCTCTTCAGGTATGAAAAGATTTCCTTAAAAAGACATGAAAAACGTAATAAAATAAAGTTAATAAATTTGCCTGTATTTAAAATGTTCATGAAAACACACCTTAAAGAGAGTGAAAACATCAGCCACAGAGTTTGAGAAAATATTTGCAACACATATAACCAATAAATAATTAATATTCAGAATATATATATATATATATATATATATATATATATTCTTCCAAACCACTATTTACAAACTGGAAAAATGTTTCTGCAGTTGACGTCAAAAGATTATGGCTTATGTTTTCTTTTACGAATTTTATGGTTTCAGATTTTATATTTAGGTCTGTAATCCATTTTGAGTTTATTTTTGTGTATGGTATAAGAAAGTGGTTCAGTTTCATTCTTTTGCATATAGCTGTCCAGTTTTCCCAGCACCATTTGTTGAAGAGACTGTCTTTTTTTCCCATTGTATATTCTTGCCTCCTTTGTCATAAATTAATTAATCATACATGCATGGGTTTATTTCTGGACTCTCTGTTCTCTTGATCTATGTGTCTATTTTTGTGCCAGTACTATACTGTTTTGATTACTCAGCTTTGAAGTATAGCTTGAAATCTGAGATCATGATACCTCCAGTTTTGTTCTTTTTCAAGATAGCTTTGGCTATTTAAGGTCTCTCGTGGCTCCATCCAAATTTTAGAATTATTTATTTTAGTTTTGTGAAATATGCTTTTGGTTGTCAATAGGGATGGTAATAAATCTGGAGATTGCTTTGGATTTTATGGAGATTTTAACAATATTGGTTCTCCCAATCCATGAGCATGGAATGTTTTTCCATTTATTTGTGTCATTTTCAATTTCCTTCACCAGTGTTTTATAGTTTTTAGAGTACAGGTTTTCACCGCCTTGGTTAAGTTTATTCCTAGGTATTTTATTCTTTTTGCTAGAATTGTAAATCAGATTGTTTTCACAATTTCTCTTTGCTACTTCATTATTAGTGTATAGAAATGCTACAGATTTCTCTATGTTAATATTTTTTTTTTTTTTTTTTTTGGGACAGAGAGAGACAGAGCATGAACGGGGGAGGGGCAGAGAGAGAGGGAGACACAGAATCGGAAGCAGGCTCCAGGCTCTGAGCCATCAGCCCAGAGCCCGACGCGGGGATCGAACTCACGGACCGCGAGATCGTGACCTGGCTGAAGTCGGATGCTTAACCGACTCCGCCACCCAGGCGCCCCTCTATGTTAATATTTCTAGATGTGTCTCCTGAGGCAAGGGAAACAAAAGCAAAATTAAAATTAAACCATTTGGACTACATCAAGATAAAAAGCTTTTGCACAATGAAGGAAATCATCAATAAAACAAAAAAGACAACCCACTGAATGGTAGAAGATATTTGCAACCAGCATGTCTGGTAAAGTGTTAATATCCAAAATATATAAATAATTTATACAACTCAGGGTTCCTGGGTGGCTCAGTTGGTCGAGTGTCCAACTTCAGCTCAGGTCATGATCTCACAGTTCAGAGGTTCGAGCCCTGCGTGGGTCTTGCTGCTGTCACCATGGAGCCTGCTTGGAATCCTCTGTCCGCCCTCTGTCTGCCCCTCCCCCATTCATGCTGGCACTCTCTCTCTCTCTCTCTCTGTCTCTCAAAAATAAATAAGCATTTTTTTTTTTAAAAAAAGGATTTATACAACTCAACACTAAAAAAAACCCAGATAGTCCAATTAAAAAATGAGCAGAGGACATGGAAAGACATTTTTCCAAAGAAGACATACACATGGTCAAGAGACACACAAAAAGATATTCAACATCACTCAGGTATTCAACATCTCAAAGAAATGCAAATGAAAACAATGAGCTATCACCTCACACCTGTCAGAATGGCTAGAATAAAAAATACTAGAAATAACAAGTGTTGGCAAGGATGTAGAGAAAAAAGAACCCTCATTATTGATGGGAATACAAACTGGTACAGCCATTGTGGAAAACAGTATGAAGATTCCTCAAAAAATTAAAAATAGAATTACCATATGATCCACCAATTCCGTGCTGGGTATTTACCCAAAGAATATTAAAAGAGTAATATGAAAAGATATATGCACCCCTATGTTTATTGTAGCATTATTTATAATAGCCAAGATATAAAAGAAACCTAAATGTCCACTGACAGATGAATGGATAAAGAAAATGTGAGGAATTAATATATATATATATAAACCATAGTTTATATTTTCATATGTAATTATATATTTTACATATAATTATATATAATATATAATATAACATGATACATAAAATGTAAATATATAATATATAATTTACATTATATATAATATATAATTTACATTATATTATATATATATTTATATATATACATATATATATATATATATATATATATATATATATATACACCATAAGAAGAAATCTTGCTATTTGCAAGGAAAGATCTAGAGGGTATAATGCTAAGTGAAATAAGTCAGAGAGAAAGAAATACCAAATGATTTCATTAATATATGGAATTTAAGAAATGAGGAAAGAAAAAAAAGGCACAAACAAAAAAAAACACTCTTTAATATAGAAAACAAATTGGTGGTTGTCAGAGTGGAGGTAGGTGTGGAGAAGGTTGAAATAAGTGAAGGGGATTAAGAGTACACTTATTGCAATAAGCATTGACTAATATATAGAATTGTTGAATCATATTGTATATTTGAATCTAATATAACACTGTATGTTAATTATACTTGAATTAAAAAGAAACAAGAAAAAGTTTGAACTACTCAATAGAAAAATGGACAAAATAACGAGTAATTTTACAAAAGAAGAATTTTGTATGAGTACAAGGCACTTACCAAGTTGTGAAATGCTAAATGTCATTACTAATCAAAAAGATGTAAATTAAAACCACAGTTGAGATAGATCATATGCATAAGATTTTAAAAGTCTTACTATCTGACAGAATCAGATTTAGCAGAATGTGAAGCAACAGAGTTCTCATCCTCTCTTGTAGGTGTGCAAATTGAAGCAGTCACTTTATTTTTTTAAGGGTAGAATGTATCTTAGTATTTAATAAGATATTACCCTAGCAGTATTTTTTTTCTTTTTAAATTTTTATTTAAATTCTAGTTAGCATACATTCCAATATTGGTTTTAGGAATAGAATTCAGTGATTCCTAACTTGCACACAACACCCAGTGCTCATCATAACAAGGAACAAACAATTTGTAGTCATCATCAATAGACATTCAGACTGTTCATACATGCGTTTTATTCTCTTCCTGGGTGTATGCTAAAATTGTACCAACCCTTTGAAGTTATGTGTGACTATGTGACCAGTATCATTTCGAAGTGGGAGGCTTTAAAACCTGTGAGTGAGTGATCAAGTTTTTTCCCCCTCTTCCATGGCTAGCTACTTCCTTCGCTGAAGGAAGGTGATGTGGAAGAGACTCTCCTTACTCAACCCCCATCTAAGATGAAAATGTAACACCAATAACATACACTTTGATGTTTAAGCCACTAAGATTTTGGAGGTTGTACTAGTCCATTATGATTGCTCTAGTATCACCAAGTAATGTTGAACATGCTTGTATTTATTAGCCAGCAATTCTAATAGTTGGCATTTATCCTATTGATTCTGTACACAAAGAAGCCACTTAGAAAAATTCTTTAAAGGGGCACTTGAGTGGCTCTGTCAGTTAAGGGTCCACTCTTGGACTTGGTTTTGGCTCACGTCAGGATCTCACAGTTTGTGTATTTGAGCTCCAGCGCTGACAGTGAGAAACCTGCTTGGGATTGTCCCTCTCTCCCTCCCTCTCTCTGTCCCTCCCCCACTCACGTTCTCTCTCTCTCTCTCTCTCTCTCAAAATAAATAAATAAACCTAAAAAAAAAGAACAGTGCTTTAAAGAACATCGCAGTAGTAGCAAAAAAGTGGAAAAAATGGAATATCTATCACCTATAAAAGAAGAAACTATAGTATATTCATACTGTGAACTCCTATAGAGACGAGAAAATTAATGAAACACGTATAGCCAAATCCATCAACATAGATAAATCTCAAAGTATATTGGTTAGTATAAGAAGCAAGTCAGAATAGATATAGTAAGATTTCATTTGTGTTGAATGTAGCGTGAAGAGTTCATGGAAGTTATGTATTGTATTAGAACTTGTGCATAGATTGTAAAAATATAAAGATAACCTATGAAATGTTTAATACAAAATTCAGGACACTGGTTTTTCTCTGGGTAGAGGGTAAGGGGGTACAATAGAGGGAATTTAACTGGTAATAGTCTATTTCTTTTTTTATTTTATTTTATTCTTTAACGTTTATTTATTTTTGAGAGAGAGAGACAGAATGCAAACAGGGGAAAGGTAGAGAGAGAGGAAGACACAGAATCCGAAGCAGGCTCCAGGCTCTGAGCTGTCAGCACAGAGCCCAACGCGGAGCTCAAGCCCACGAAGTGCAAGATCATGACCTGAGCCAAAGTTGGATGCTCAATTGATTGAGCCACCCAGGTACCCCTAATATTCTATTTCTTAACATGGGGGGGTGTAAATATGGGTGTTCATGTTGTTATTGCATTGTAACCTGTACTTATACATTTTATATACTCTTCTTCATGTATTTTATATTTCACAGACAAAACTATTTTGAAGTCTTCGGTAATAATCCTGACACACGAGGACCCATAAAATAGGTTGAATCATACTTTGATAAGTGACTTATATAACTCCTTAAGAAAAGTCTGATTTTGTTGTCCAAGGACACTTGACGATGAATTGATTATATCCTAATTCTGTTTTGACTTTTGCAAGGTGTTGGGAAATTCACTTATTAGCTCCATTTCCATTTTTATATTTATAGAATAGCAGTAATATACCAGCTTATTTGAAGATTAATGTTTGCAAAATACCTTATACCTTCAATATAGTTCCATATACTATATTAAAATAATATATTAAAAATACACCTTAGCTTCTGACTAATGGAAATTCTCTGACGAATAATGGATATATTGGCAATCTAGATCATCACTGGCTTGGTTGTAAGTGATGATAAGAAACATTTAGCTTAATGGAAGAGATAAAAAATGATAGCAATTAGATAGATTTTTGAAAGCTGAAAGTTTAAACACATACCAAACTATGAAAACACTTTAATAGTGCTTTTTGCATGGTAGAAAAATTTTTCAGGGACATACAAATCCATAGGAAGAGTGTTTTCAACAAAGTACCAAAAGGCAACCTTCCTACTTAGGATGTTAGCGCTGAATGTTAAAATGCCGTGCTGCTGATTTTGGTTTTAACTCTTGAAGATGACAGGTAACCAACCGTACAACATTAGTTTTTCAAACGGTCATGAAAAAAAATATTGTCACTGCCAAAATCACAGATAAATTACCAGTTGTCCTTTTTTTAGAAGTGTATGAGGTCCAGTACAGTGCTTTCTTCAAAGGCAGCTCATTAAAGAGAGGAGATTGAATCAGGCATAAATGAAATTGGGGTTAGAGGACTGACTCCAGTATGGGTGACCACAGGTATAATGTCTAAGGCAACAAGACAATATCATGTAGGATCTGATTTAGAAAGCATACCTGTGGGATGTGATGTGATGGACGCAAGCCCTCTGATAGTAGTACCTAGAACATGGCCATAAAGTAATAGGGCCCTGTCTCTACAAAGAGAAGTTACAGATGAGGACAGAGTAGGCTGAAAAGCAGAATAGAGCTTGCTAGCAGGGAGGTAGAATGTAAATCTGAACACAAATTAGGCTAATAATCACAAATAAAAGATATACAATATAGCTATTTATTCCAGGAGGTTCACACTAAGAACATTATATTTTCATTTAGCTATGAATGGAAATTTGAATTGTGGCCAGACTTACATGATTCCCAACTTTGTATTGCACAGGGTTAAATTTTCAAGGTGAAGAATTTCTGTACCTGCAATTGGCCAGACCAAAGAGGAAAGGACTGGTTATAAAAGCCATCCTGTTTGCTATGCTACTTTTATAGATAGTGAAAACTTTTTATTTAATATAATCAAACTTTATGGAAAAATATAATTTCCATAGGACTACTTCTAACCTATATTTCAGAATTGTGTGGGTATTTTCTATTTTCCCTTCTAGTTTCACTCCTTCGGAATCTTCTCTGTACCCCCAAAGGCTGAAATCTAGGGGTTGCCTCAAGAGATGACCTGTCCTCTGACTACTGGATGGAAGACCAATAGGAAGCTTCTGCAATAGGTTAGAGGGCAGGAAGAGAATGAGATGGGGTATTCATTCCCTATATTAGCTAGTCTTCAAAGGTATCCCCCAACAATTCCTTCCTTGTATATACATATCACTCTTGCTATCAAGAGTTGGAGATTATTTCTGTTCTCCTTGAATCTGTGCTGGCCCTTGACTAGCTTCTACAAATAGAATGTACCAGAAGGGCAATTTGAGACTTCCAAACTCAGACCAAAGAGAACTGGAAGCTTCTATTTGCTGCCTCCTGGAATTTAGCCACCATGGTATGAGAAGCCCAGGATAGATAGAAGCCCAAGATAGATGGAAGAATCACAAAAATGAGAATCAAGCACTCTAGCTATATCAGGCACTTATTGACAGCCATCTGAGTGAGTCATTGTGGTAGCTAGTCACCAATATGGCACCCAATGAAGGTTGTTTCCCAAGCTTTGGGATGGTTTGTTTTGCAATAATAGATAGCCAAAACAGAAATTGGTACCTAGAGAGTAATGTGCTGCTGTAACAAAAACCTTAAACATGTGGCATTGGCTTTGGGATAAGGGATCTCACAGAGGTAATCAATGGAGGCCTGTAAGACAGTGAAGAAATTGTTGAGCCTGGAGCAAAGGTGAGTTTCTGCCCTATTATGTAGAGGGAGAATGTTTGACAATGCTGTAATTTGTGGTAACATGAGAGATAGAAAATATATCTAACAACCTTGTGTATTTGGCTCAGGAGGTTTCCAAACAAAGTTAAGAGTCTATTGGTTTCTTTAGGTGTATATGACCATTAATAGGGTGAAATGACTTGGGAAGAAACCATTTAACTTGTAAGCAGTATCTAGAATACAAGTCAGCAACACATTTTCTGAAATGGGCCAGATAGTAAATATTTTAGGCTTTTCAGGTTGCATGTTGTCTGTAGCAACTACTCAAGTCTGCACTTGTAGCATGAAAGTGGACACAGACAATCTTTAAGTGATTCGATGTGACTGTGCTCTAATAAAAAAAGAAAATTGACTGACAAAAGCAGGTGACAGCCTGTATTTGACCTGTGGGCCATAGTTGACCAACCTCTGACCCAGAAAAAACATTTTCAAATAAGGGTTTGGTGAGTTGGAACATAAGTTATTCTCCTATTTATCTCTTCCAGCCCATATGAGATTTTCAGAGTAAATTAATACCTGGGGGCAAAGATAAAATCCAGAGTGCTGCCACATTATGAAGATCAGTTCAATAGTGCAGTTGAAAGACTGTTTAACCTTCATAAAGATTAAGGATTTGTCCCTTAGACCCTGTCAGCTAGACAATGGGATTTTTAAAAATCTTAAGGGGCTTGCCTTGTTGACCTTCTTTCTCGCTAGACAGTAAAGTTTTTTTTTGCCTTGTAGGCCCATTCAGCTAGAAAAAAAAAGGATTTCAAGAATCTTAAAGGCATTGTCCTTACAGCGTCCTGATTCTAAGCCCTAAGTAGAGAGGAGTGTGTCTTTAAAATCTGTCATAAAATAAGGTATAGGTACATAGGAAGTCCAAACATTTTAACAGAAATTTTAAGAGCGTGGACTAAAAGGGACTGAGGTAGTACAAAATGAAAAAGGTCTCAGGTGTTAGTAATTTCCTATGAATAGGACACAAGCTAAGAAAATTACTCAGCAGCAAACACATTCTACTTCTTATAGAAAAGTAACAATAACAGAGCAGGCAGAGCCATGAAGAACCATTCTCAGGGAGTATAGACCTAATCAAGAAACATGGTGTATCCCTGGAGACAGAGGAAATGGTAACATGTCCTGCTAGATTTCAGAATTGTTTTGGGCCAGTAACTGCTATGTTATTTCAGTTTTACACTTTTAGAGTGAAGGTTTCTATTGTGCCTGCCATGTGTTTTCCTCATTATTGTATGTTAGGTGTGTATGGGACGGATAATTATTGTGTTAGTGTTTCATTTTTTAGTTTACAGGTGCTCCTGAGGAGCTTGAGGACTCTATCTCATCTATATCTGGCTCTGATATAGGTGATAAGAGTTTTTGATATGAGCTGATGCCATAAGGGGATGGAAATTTGTAGGGTAATTGGGAGGTGTTAAGTGTACTTTGTACATGAATTGTTATAGCCAGAAGGCAGAGGCTGGAGTGCCTTTCCAAATTCCTCCTCCCTTTCTATATGCATGTTACTCCTAATTCAAGTGGTGGAGTTTATTGCCCCTTTCCTTGAATATGGACTGCCCTTGTAACTAACTTTGATCAATCAAATGGCCATGAAATTGGTGAAATTACTGATTTGGGACCTAAGAGCCCAGGCTTTAAGAAGATTGGTGGTATGGCAGATCTGAGATGAGCTACTCAGATCCTACTTTAGAGAAGAACTTCTTGTTCAGCAGTGAGGAATGAAGACAACAGAGAGACATTAAGTGTTGGTTCCTTCAGCATCTGCCTCAGCTAAAGAGACCCGCCTCACCTCAGGTCATGCCTTTCCTGAAGACTAAGCAAAGGGATGTTATAAAAGGTCTGGACATTTTGCCTGATATGCAACAGATTTGCAGGTTAACCAACTGCATCACAGTTGGACTTCTTCCTTTGCCTAATCCTGCTTCTTCCACATTTCCCCCTCTCAGGTGTTGATCAATAATAAATATTCTGCACCCCAAAATTCTCAGAATCTTCTTCTGGAGAATCCAACCTATGACATATAGGTTCTACTATCTGACCCTTAGAATCTGGTAGTCTATGTTGTGAAAAGCTATATCTATATCAAAAGGCCAGGTGGAAAATACTCTGGTGGATGAATCCAGCTGAGTGTCTTGTTAATAGCCACTATCAAATGGAAACTATGTGAATGAGCCACCTTGGACCTTCCAACCCTGTTGAACTCTAAATGACTTTGGACTTCCTGGCATCATGTGGATTAGAAGAACCACACAGTGAAACCATGGAAATAGGAATAATAGTAAAATAGTTGTTTTAAACCACTAAGTTTTGGGGTGTTGTGTTATGCATCAATAGTTAATTGAAACATTCCCCAGCTCTCTCCATGCAAGTTGTGCTTCCCTACTGAGGGCCACATCTCTCTGGCAAATTTTCCCTGCAGCTACATCCTCTGGATTCTGTTAACTGGTAACATGTTCCCCATCTTGGTACCCCCATATTATTGTGCATTTATTGTGAAGCTCATTATTCTTTTGTCTTATTTCCTATAAAAAGGGAAAATATCTCTCAAATTTTATTAAATCAAGGAGACATGATTTCTAAATATAGGAGATTTAGGGGAGCCTGGCTGGCTTAGTTGGTAGAACATGTGACTCCATTTGGGAATTGTGAGTTTGAGCTCCATGTTGAGCATAGAGATTACTTTAATTATTATTATTATTTTTTAATACAGGAGGTTTAAGCAGAAATCTTCTAACTCTCCTGCCTTCTTGCAAATTCATCTTATCTCTGGAAAGAGGTATGTTGGTGTACCTCTGCTATTAAAAATAGGCTAGAGGTAAGGTCTATTAATCTTGTTTTCTCTCCGTAAAAGGAAAAGCAAATGTTAAATGTCTTATCAAAAGGTTTTAGTCCTCAAGTAGGACATATTCCTTGGGTTCTGCCATAACCAGTAGGGTTTGACAGTCTGATGTGCTTTGAATAGACTTTCAAAAATGTGGCCTTAAACAAAAGCAACTAATGTTTAATGGTGGCTTTTTAGGGAACTTGTTCGGTGAATAAGTTTGGAGAAGGAAAGCCTTTTAAAGATTTTTCTATTTATTTATTATTTATTTATTTATTTATTTATTTATTTTTAAGTAAACTCTACCCATGAGGTAGGGCTCAAACTCATGACCCAAAGATCAAAAATTGCATGCTCCACTGACTGAGCCAGCTAGGCACTCCTCTCTCTATATATTTTTTCTTTTTTTAAATTTTTTAATGTTTATTTATTTTTGAGAGAGAGAGAGAGAGAGTATGAGCAGAGCAGAATGAGAGGGAGACAGAGAATCCCAAGGAGGCTCCAGGCTCTGAGCTGTCAGCACAGAGCCCGATGTAGGGCTCGAACTCACGAACTGTGAGATCATGACCTGAGCTGAAATCAGATACTTAACCGATTGAGTCACCCAGGCACCCCGCTCCTCAATATATTTTTAATTTTTTTTATAAAATAAATAAAAATTTTGCTATCTTATATTTAGTCTCCCACCCTTTATTAACAAGCTAAGATCAAGTTAGTCTTCTAATTGTTACACTAAACTGAGTATTACCAGTTTGGTAAATAAATTGCTTGTAAAATATCTACTGTAAATGACACATCATTATATTGTGCCACCTAACGCTAGGCATTTTGTAAACTTATGAGTATTTTTGGTAATGTGTGACTCAAATTTTTTAAGTTAATGTTGGGCTTAACCCTTTATCCAAGTTTACCCAGAACAGACTCAGTTTATGCCCCCTGTCTCATTATGACTGTTACCATTACTATTGCTCTTTCTTATTCACAGAACTGTACTTTGGATAATACATTTTCTGGTTTTCTTACCTCAAGTGGTGGTTATATCTAAGACAAAACTATTCATACTTAGAAAATAGTAGTAGAAATGTTTAAATATTTTAAAGGCTGGGTTTTTGTTGTTTTTGCCAAATAACAGGTCAGTGTCTTTAAATGAATGTGAGATCTTTTAAAAAGTTAACATGAATTTTTAAAAGAATCTATAAAACTTTAGACTTAATTGGTTTAAAATACACTTTCTCAAGTTGCGATAAGCTTAATATTAAAATTATGTTCCATAAACTGACCTTTATAATTTTTGTCTACGGAATGTTTTCCTAGTACTTGAAGAAAACAAATGAGGTTTGAAACCGCAAAGTACATTAAGGGTTTTCTTGATCAGTAGTTACATAAATTAGAGGGAATGTCAGTTTTATATTAATATTTAATAATAAGTTGATTAAATTTTGATTGAAAGCCTGTTTGTTTACATATTATGTAAATTGATTTTGAAATAAAGTTTATAGATTTAGATGCTGTTTACATTATTTCAGTTTCTAAGTTTACATATGCCACATAAATTTCGGTGCCTAAATGACAACCCCTAAATAAGTTTCAATTTGGAAAAAATAGCAAAATAGTAGAATTAGTGAGTAGGAAGTTTTTCAAAATTAAATTTTAACCTTTTTTCCCCATTAGCTTCATTCTCTTATAACTTAAAATGAAAAAGATCATATATGCCTACATGAAAAAAAATCTCTAAGATGGTTGTTCTCTCTTTTGAAATTGTATTTACTAGCACTACCCTTACTCACATCTATCTCTGATCTTTGCTTTGTGAGTCTTATCCGTATGAGCTGTACCATTCAGTCTTCCTTACCTTGCATATCAGGTATGAGATTGGTGTCCAAAATATACAAATATAGAAAATATACAAATTTTTCAAGCTCAAACAAAAGAGAACAAATAACCCGTTTGAAAAATGAACAAAAGATTTGCATCCTTCACCAAAGGATGTATACAGTGGCAAAGAAGCATATGAAAAGATGCTCCATTCATATGTTATCAGGTACCTTACCTTGCACATTTATTAGAATGGCCAAAATCCAGAATACTGACAACACCAAACACTATGAAGATGGAGCAACAGAAACTCTCGTTCATTGCTGGTGGGAATGCAAAATGGTACAGCCACTTTGGAAGACATTTTGGCAGTTTTTTGTTTTTTGGCTGTTTTAAACAAAGCTAAACATAGTCATGCTGCACATAAAAGTTCAATTCCTAGGTATTTACCCAACTGATTTGAAAACATGTTACAAAAAACCTTCAAGTGAATGTTTTTTAGTAGCTTTATTCATAATTATCAAAAACTGCAAGCAACAAAGATATCCTTCAGTAGGTGAATGATAAATTGTGGTGCATCCATACAACTGAATATTACTTGGTGGTAAAGAAAATGAGCTATCAACTTAGGTAAAGACATGAAGTATCCTTAAATGTATATTGCTGTCTTCTTTCACAGAAGATAGTCTGAAAGGTTACATACATTAGAATTCCGATTATATGGCATTCTTAAAATGGTTTATAAAGGTTAAAAATATACAAACAATAAAAAAAATCTAGTGGTTACTAGAGGAGAGGGAGAAAGTTCTAATAAGTGAAAAATAGTTTTTTATTGAGGGACTGAAATTATTCTATGTGATAATGGTGAATACGTAATAGTATGCATCTGTCAAAAGCCTATAGAATTTTATCACACAAAGAGTGACCTTAATGTATGCAAATATTTAAAAATTCGTCTAGAAAGTTGGAGAATCCCAGGTTGGAATACAGACTGTGATGAAAGAATCCGACTGTATTATAAGCGTATGAATAAAACTTCAAAGAAGGACATAGAGAAGAAAGGTGCTATGTAAAGAGCTGGAAATGAGTGGAGCCTATAATACTTAAGGTAAAACACTTTACTGTAGTTGATAAAGCTGTTTCCTATGGAGTATTAGCTAACAATGCTGATAAAGCACAATATACATATTTAAATTGAAGAATTAAATAAATGAATAGAAGATGGTGGAAGCCTGGTTTCTCCCTCCTAGGTGGAGGTTAGAGATAAGCAAAGGGAAGAACTAGAATAATCCATGCTGTAAAAGATCAGAGCTGGAAACACCAGTAGGAACTCATATTTAGCTTAATATAGATACAGATAGTTACATACAGAAATATTTCTATATTATAAATACATAGATTATATACACAATTACATTTTCTCAATCTGTCATTTGAGAGATCCAGAAACAATGACACCCTAGGAGCAACAAGGGTATTGAGTACCCAGATTTTGGATTCTACTACTGTTTACATGAGAAGAAACAGGGCTTCTTGGATCAATGGTTGATTCTAAGACTGTATCTGGAAATATATAAGATGAATCTGGAGCATTATGTAGTGCTAGAAAGTAAGGAAGTGTTATGGCCTGAATATCTGTGTCCCTCCAAAATTCATATATTGAAATCTAATCCTCAATGTGATGGTATTTGGAGACAGGGCCTTTGGGAGGTTATTAAGACAGGAGGGGGAACTCTTCATAAATGGAATTAGTGCACTTGTAAGAAGAAGAAATGTAGTAGCTTGCCCTCTCTCTCTCTCTCTCTCTCTCTCTGTCATGTGAGGATACAGTAAGTCAGGAGACTAAACCCAGAAGAGGTTCCTCACCAGAACCCAATCATGGTGGTACCCTGATCTTAGACTTCCAGACTTGAAGAATTGTGAGTAATAAATTTATGTTGTTTATAAGCCACCTAGCTAATGGTATGGTACTGTATTGTAGCAGCCTGAACTAAGGAGTGCTCAAAACAAAACTAACAAAACAAAAACCTACATTGATGTGGTATGTTGAAGGGATAACAGAGCCAACTGAAAGAATTGCAAATAGCCAAAGCTGGAAAAATATGAGCAATAAAATAAAGGATTAGATTATAATCCAAAGTATAAGATAAATTCCCATGAATCCATGATGATATAAATGATTGAATAAATGTATAGGGAAGAAGAGACAAATCTCCTTTGCAGCAGAATTATAAATAACTTATGTAGATCTTTGCCTTCATAGAAGGGAGGTGTATAAACCCCCACTTCTTAAGTGTAGGAGATGTGCAGTGACTTTTTTCCTAAGAAGACAATATGGAAAGAAGGGGGAGGATGAGCAATGAGAAAACCTGACAAATACTACCTTAGCCAGGTGATCAAGGTCAACATCAATATCCATATTAAGTTATAAATCAAGGTGATGGTATGTGCCCTTGACATGATGTGATAAAATGGCAGTTTAACTATTATTTTCCTTACTAAAACCCGTAACCCCAGTCTAGCTGTGAAGGAAAAAACAAAAAACAAAAAACAAATTCTACTAGAGGAGCATTCAACAAAATACCTGACTTGCATTCTTCAAAACTGCTAGGTTCATACAAAACAGGGAAAAATCTAAAAAAAAATTGTCACACTCAAGAACAGTCTAAAAAGATATAACACCTAAACATCATGCAGTATCCTGGATGGGATCTTGGAACAGAAAAAGAATATAAGGTAATAACTAAGGAAACTGGAATAAGGTGTGAACTTTAGTTAACTATAATGGTTCAGCATTGGTTCATCAGTTCTAACAAAAGTACCATACTCATGTCAGATGTTAAAAATGAGGAAACTGGGGCGCCTGGGTGGCTCAGTTGGTTAAGCGGCCGACTTTGGCTCAGGTCATCATATCACAGTCCGTGAGCTTGAGCCCCGCGTCGGGCTCTGTGCTGACAGCTCAGAGACTGGAGCCTGCTTCAGATTCTGTGTCTCCCTCTCTCTCTGACCCTCCCTCATTCATGCTCTGTCTGTCTCTGTCTCAAAAATAAATAAACATTAAAAACAATAAAAATAAAAATGAGGAAACTGCATGCAGAGTGTAAATAAACTCTGTATTATCATCTCATTTTTTTCCCCTATAAATCTAAGAGTGTTCTCAAAAATAAGCTCTACCTTGAAAAAAGTGTCTAGTGTAGAGTCTAACACATAGTAGGTTGATAGTCAATGATAGTTAGGAAAGGAATACCTTCATGCATTCAAGAATTGTGCTATTGAGAATAGAATAAGATGTAATAGCTTAAAATAAACCAAAGGACCCATCTTGTTCAACTTCTGTATAAAGAAGAAAGATGAGAACAAGAGATGTTAAGTGACTTGCACAGTGTCATGGAGTAATTGAAAAGTAGGTGCCTTCCCTAAACAGAATTGCTCAGCGAATGAGACCCCAAATTATTGGAGTATTTTTCTGTATATCTGTATAACAAACTATGCTTTCCAATTTGAGTAATTTTAATATACTGAAAGGGAAAAGTTGGTACCCATAGGCAATTTAGTTAGGGACCTTTAAGACAATCTGGTTGTACAACTGTAGACTTTAGATCAGAGGAAATCGGGTGCGTTCAGGATGGTATGGCCATAGACACAACTGTAGACTTTAGAAAAGGAAACCCTCTAAAATAAACTGACCATTAAATAATTGAAAATTGAAAGAGCTTTTGGGATGGAATTGAAAGCATATAGAAGCATGCTTTCAGATACTTCTCTGAATGAAGAAAAAAACAGCATTTGTAAAACATATTCTACATGTTGCCATGTTCATGATGTTGTCATGTTCCCATGACCTGGGGAAAACTGTCATTTGGTGGAGTTACTATGGGCTCATTAGACAAATTGAGGGAAAAAAAAAACAATAAAAGCTTTTCTCTGGTAAGTACCTATAGTTAATGAAAGGTTTATCCTTCATAAATCCAAAGTTTGGAACGATTATGGACCAGGAGAAATTCCTAACACATGAATGAATCTCCTCACCAAAAAATTCATGGTTCAGCTAAGCCTTAATTGCTTACAGATGATGTTATCTGTGGTATTAAGATAGTGATATTTATTTAAATATTTTATGTGTTACATATCTTTATTAAGTTTTGAGTCATTAAAATAATGTAGTTTTCTCAATAGTTTATAGCAGGAAAAGCTCAATTAAGTCTAGGAACTTTGCTCCATTTCATCACACCCTTTCCACGCAGGTTAGAAATAGGTTTAAATGTTAAAACAATATTTTCATAAGTAGATGCCATTCTTCAAACAATGATATAGATAAAAATTGTTGGGGTGCCTGGGTAGCTCAGTTGGTTGAGCATCCAACCCTTGATATCAGCTCAGGTCATGATCTCACGGTTCGTGGGATTGAGTCCCGTGTTGGGTTCTACACTGTCAGCAAAGAGCTTGGGATTCTCTCTTTCCAATTTTCTCTCTCTGCCCCTCCCCTACTCGTGCTCTCTCTCTCTCTCTCTCTCTCTCTCTCTCTCTCTCTCTCTCTCTCAAAATAAATAAACATTACTTATTTGTGAATAGATTTTATGCATAGGTCATTGATATCTTGTAGAAATATAACTGGTAGGGATGGTAAATTCTAGTTACCCCATATTTTTCTGATAGACATATGCTTACATAGATGACAGTAGTAATTAAATTTTGCATTCAGATTCATAGATATGATAGAGCAATGTTAAAGATTATTTGGGAATAGAAGAATGATTTAAAAGAACAATAATTCAAAACATGTGCTGTTGAAGCTTTGGAATTAGACCATAAGTTGTTTAATTATAAAGAAAGAAACACACGCAAATTCAGGTTTTCAAATAATAATTTATTAAAGTTTTCTCGTGTAGAAGTTACTTTTATTCTCCAATTTTAATCAAAATATTTACTTGTACTCTGAATGCACCTATAAACTACATATGTAGTATTATATTTTTACACAGTTTAATTACTAAAGTAACTTTACACAGCTTTTTTTACAGCTCATAAAATGTTTTTAAGGAATGAAAGCCAAAAGACTGTGAAGACATATTTATAACATGCCACTACACCTCTGTCACACTGATTGCCATCCAGTTAAGCAACATGCAAACAAAATTATCTTTTATAGAAGGGAAACAATGTATAGGAAATCAAAATGTTTTCCACTTGGTCATCAAGGAAGTTTCCTTCATCTGCTTTTTATACTATTGTTACTTGATTGTATATAAATACTATCTTTTGTTAAGTTCTTTTCACAATTAATTCAAAATCTCCTTAAAAAAGTATTTATTCTGTAATTCAATTAATAAAAATTTCCAAATAATATAATTAAAGAAAAAAATCTAGAAATACTGAACTGCTGTCCTGCCATCTTGCATTGGGCAGATAAGTAATTTTCTGCGAAGCCTGCTAGTGGCCGGCTCACAGAAGGCACAGCTGCTCAAGTTCAAGGAGCCGCAGGACATTGAGGGTTTCCAGGTGACCTTTAGGATGAAAGTGTACAGTTGAGAGGTGGCCATCTTTGGGTCCCCCAATATCTACTGCAAGGGGGCAATTCAGGACATGCCTCAAGTTCACTATCGACTGCTTTTACTCCCTGCCGACCTTTCAGTTCCTTTCAGTTCCTGACTCCAGCATCTGCAAGATGTTGCGTCTCCATCCTTGGTCCTCCACCCCCGGTCCTTGGCCCCTGGAGCAGGGAGCCCCCTTCAGAGCGGTGGAACCCCACCCAGAACGTCGGGACTATCCTCCTGAGCATCACTTCCCTTCTCATGGAACCCAGCACCTTCTCATTAGCATCATAGATGCCTCCTACTTGTGCTGGGTACCTAGGTCAGGGCCTGCCCAGGTGGGCGGGGCACGTCGGTGGGTGAACCGTGGTGGCCTGAAGGACCCAGAACCTGGCCTTGTCTGCAGCTCCTGCTGGCAGGAGCCAGAAACATTAGGTTCCCAGCTCCCAAGGGACCAGATTAATTTGTGTTCACCTTTTCTCTGGTTTGTTTGGAATCTAAATAAAATGGCTTCATGAGGAAAAACAAAAAGGTCACCTTTACCAAAGGGATTTTGGAGAATAGATCAATGGGAGGT